CCCCCTGCTTTCTGTCCATGCACGTCCACCTCTCCTCTCGCTATAGCTATTGCCCACTATATGCTGACAGCTCAGAGCTATGCTGCTGGGAAAGACCCTGACAGTATTGTCAGGATCCACCCCATGCATTATTGATGGCTAGCTAGCTCTGCCTCTCTAGAGCTGTGCCCACCCACTCCCCCGTCCATCCCTCCAATGAGCACTGTAGGGAGAGAGTGGAGTGGGGTATTCCCTGCTGGTAGTGGTGACTGACAGTTATCGCTCTCTGCAGGGAAAAGATCAGGAACTGAGTGATCAGCGGTATGTGATTGCTCAGTTCTCAATCAAGCCGACGTGAGACAGCTGCAGGGTCACACGCCGGCTCTAGTTATGAGGATGCATATTTTCGCTTTCCGCATAATTCTCTGTTAAAAGATTGACACAAGTTCTTTCAATTTTTGGCGCATTCTATCAGACATTAAGGACTCATGCACATGGGCACATTTACAATACAATGTAAATACAGGCTTTCTGCGCCTGAGATACACAGCTGGTGTCTACAGATATGATTGGCGGTGTGTGAGTATATGCTGTTACTTGCGTAGGGACGTATTCCCCCAAATGCAAACTTTTTTTTTTATGCTCGTACTGGTATCATACAGTTCATGTTCACATGCTTCCATGGACCCGGGGAAGCGGTAATTGTCCTGGAGGGGTGTCCGCTTCCTTTTGAGAAATTGCCATAGTTTGTCTTTAGTTACCATTATTTTTGTTGCAGCTTTTCCAGATACGAGCCTTGTTACATGTTGTGTTTTCAAAGTCATTAAATATTCGTGTTTGTTCCCAAATGAGTGTCGCCTGTATCAAAGGGCCTGAGGTGTGAACAGGATATGGTCATATGAACCAATTAGAATGTGGTTGCTATGGACAGCACAGACTGAGACAATGGTCCATACACTGATAAACTAGGACCTGTCCATGAATTGTATGCAAAGCCTGAATGGGCATGCACGGTGCAAATTTCCTCTGGTGTTCGATGAAGCGGCCAAAATTCACTGGTGGTGGCCCTGATGGCAGCCTCCTGCTTGCCATCCTTCAATCTGGAAATACAAGGAGCTGGGTGGAAGATGCTCGGCTGAAAAGTGATGGCAGCCAATCAGCTGTTGTTGCTGTTCAATTATTCGGACAGTGGCACGCCCGCCACTGTCACAATACAGAAGCCTGGTGGGGGAAGGATTCCTATCCGTGCTGTTAGTGTGCATGGGGGAATCAAGTGCAGCCTTTACACCTGTGCCAATATTTGTGTATTTTAGCACATTACAAAAAGCCTGCACCCCCTGGCAACCTATACTTCATCTTCATTGGCCAAATTGCATTAAAAACGGGCAACAAAAATGTGCTAAAATGCATGAAAATGTAGACGCACAAATGTGAATGAAGACTACTGCTTGACCATACACTGAAATACATTCTTTGTTCAACCTGCGGGCTAAACGAAGAAAATATAACGGATTCCTCCATCAGTGCTTACGATCGTGGAACGAGGAATCTCCCGCTGTCTTTTATTTTATCCTTCCAGCATTGTAAGCTGATTGGCCTCCGGCTCTGTTCGTTCAAAGATTTTCAAACTGGCTCCTTCAATCAGCTGATCGAGGGATGCCGGCAAGAAGGGTGCTGACGGCGCCCCCCACTGTGCGAATTTCATCTGGTTCACCAAGAAATTACCAAAGCTCACATACAGGGTTATTCACAAAAGGATGAAGAGTTTGGAGAAGGCAGGAGAAGTTAACAATCTAGGCCAAAATAACTGATTTGGAAAAATTCACCAATTCAGCTCACTTTCCAGTTCAGCTATGTTGTCCTAGATTGTTCACGTCTCCTGCCTACTCCAAACCCTTCACCCTTTTTTTGAATAACCCTAATGGTGTTTGGCCACCTTTAACACTCGCCATTACCGGGTAGATTCTAATAGGAACCTTCACACGAAAAATCTCAGCAGAACTTTGACATGTCGTTTGATTTTAATATTCCATTTTGGAATGAATAACATTTCTCGAACGAAAACCACATTCATTGTTACATTTTTGAATTTGCCATCCTGCTTGATCAATTTTTTTTTCATCACTTTGGCTGAAAATGATCTTCAATTTGACCCGATTAACTATTGCAGAATCTAAAGAATATTCCAGAAACACATTTTCTGAAGGTAATTCTACTGGTATATGGCCAGCTTTAGGGGTCCAAAAACAGCTCAATTTTTTTTTCAAGCATCGTCTTGTGCCAGCTGGCCTTCATTCCCTATTGGGTGATAGCGAAAGCCTCCGGCCTGTCGTTGGAAGGCTGTCAATGTGAGTGTGGGTGCTGATCAGTGGTAAAGAGGGAAATGGAGTATTTCCATGCCTACGTCTAAAGCTGACCATACTCTGGTAGATCTTTGTATGAAATTTAATATTAAAAATCTCATTAGAACATTTGATATTGCCATCAGAGACTTGACGAATGTTGTTTGAAATCTCATTTGAATTTAAAATTTGATTTGGGAATGAATGGAGTTTCTCAAACAAAAAACAGATGCTCTGTTAGAATTTTGTTTGTTCAAGAAAAATTTTCCTTCCTGCCCCTGTGGTCAAAACCCATCTTTGATTTAGCCCCATTAACTGTTAGAAAATCAAACAAGTGAATTTTTCCAAATGAAATTCTACTGGTGTATGGCCTTATGATGTTACCTTGCCTGGGAGAAGATGGCAGCCCATGTACTGTCTTTCCTCCTTTTGAGATGCATATCTGTGACATGTTTGTAAACAGCCAATGGTCACTTACAGCCAATGGTCACCTACATGCATAAAGTATTCCAGGATAGTCAGCCAGTTCAGGATTGGGGAGGGAGGCGGAGGGGGGAGCATTACTCCAGCAACAGTGTGTAATGAATAACTGGATTGTAAATAAATGGAGCCGTGTGCCTTCTCCCTCCTGCCCCCTTGTGTCATCCCACTTCACGCTAGTTTGTTCTGGCACGCATCTTGCATTTCAGAAGAGGAAAGCAAACATCCTGATGTATATCCAGGTCTGAGAGTTTACCTATATTGAGGGCAGATTTCACACTGGCAGAAGCATTCGCCACGGCACTTATAAAGCGTCCTCAGTGAGTTGTCTGGCTTATGAACACAGGGCTTGTTCATGTCAAGGATTTCTGCCAATCTTGTATTCTGAGCACACTTTTTCCAGTTTTCATGCAAGTCTGGAGGAATCCACCCTGCCTAATATAAGCTGGCAGTTTTAATATTTCCCGACTTTGAATATTTCCACTGCTGCTCTAAATTGGTCTGTGAGACGTGATCACAGCTTCTCATCCCCTAAGCATCAAATGCACCTGCCCAACCAATGACATTCTCCTTTTCATTCGCACATCATACATTGAATGATGAAAGGATGTGACTGAACATCATTCCATATTTTTTTTTTTTTATAGAACTGAAGCAGCCTTCAATCTAAAGCTGGCTATACATGGTTACAATATAGTTAGTAAAAAGTTGTATTTGGAACATTTGTTCGCTTTTTATAATAGTTGATGGGATCAAATTTAATGATCGATTTTGGCCGTCAAAAGAGCAGAATGGGAAATTGTTCTTTTTCAACGAACAGTGAATGCGGTTTTCTTTCTGGGGAAACTCCATTTTATTCCAAAATCAAATGTCACAGTCAAACAATATTTAGGATGGCATTTGTCAAGTTTCTGATGGCATTACTGAATGTTCTGATGTGATTTTTTTTTTTTTTTTTTTTGCATGAATATTTGTACGACAAATCTACCAGTGTAAGGCTCTTACAGTCATACAGACACCCACTGGGCCACCTTGGGTAGAAGATGTCTAAAGTAAACCTGGCACAAGAGAAATATGAGCGCTACCTCTGTTGGCCTCCTTACTAATATCGATACCAATACCAAAATAAACATGCAGCAAATCAAAGTTGGAGAAAGTCAGAATTTATTTCAGTAGACTTGTTCCAAATCATTGGCACCGAGCACCAAAGCATCAGCTTGACCACCAGTAAATTAACATTCTCAGTGGATGTCGGAACTGGCAGGCTACATATTTCTGTCATGACTAGTACCCTTTATCTTAACGGTGTATTTTATTATTGTTGGTGCAAAGTAGATCACCCTAATAAAGTTTTTTTATTTGACATTTTTAAGGCCATATAGAGCAAGGCTGGACAAATCCCGTAAGCGAGATAGACAATGTTCCTTAATAATTGGCATCTAACTGTTAAAGTTTTCTTTAGTTGTCAGTGTAGTTGGCTCCTAAAAGAAATCCTGTTGGCTTCTGAATTCCATATATTTTGCCCATACCTGTTTTAGTGTATAATCTGTGATAAGATTATTGGTCTAAAGTGGACTAAAGTGTAAGGAAAGGCGAATTCCATGTGAAAGTTGTCTACAAGTGGGCTGTAAGAAGTTAGTCATCTATGCCTTTGGTTTTGGATTCATGGTCTTGGGGTCCATCTCAAGCTCTAACATTTAATATTCCCTAGCATGCTTGTGACAGAAATCCTTCCCCTGCATTATGGATTACAGTAGTCATTAAAGACTCCTCTATTTGAACCAAACGCTCACACACTCATTGTAGTCACAGTAGGTGCTGGCAACTGGATATTATTCTTCAGTACAAGGAATTCTGGATTTTTTATAAAGGAGATAAACGAAGTTGTAAGTTAGTTAACTACGGTAGTGTGTATTGCCCTTACCAAGCATCCCCTTTAAATGCATCCAGCAGTCTTTTGCTCCCTACAGCTTTCCCCGTGGGACTACAGCCGGAGAGCCACAAGTTGCAAAAGACTGACACATGATGTAAACAGTTTCTGTACTCTGTCACTATTCTTGAAACCGTTGAAAAGTTCAACTTGTCAGCAAGGGATGAAGGGGCTTTATGTTTAGGCAGGCTGTCCCCTACCCCCCCCCCCCCCCTTTTTCCTTGAAATGGATTTCCTCCATGCTGGCTTTGTTTTGTTTTAAAGGGCAAGCAGAAGACTGCAGTTGCGCAGCTCCATGCAGACAATAGACGTGGAAGCTGAGACACAAAGGCATTGCAACGGATGATGCTATAGATGTTTAAATCTGCTGATGCTGTCACATTCATGTTGGGAGGAGCATAGACCACGTTTACCCTGATGCTCTAATGGTTGAGAGTATGACGTCACCCTCCAAGGGCTGTGGGAACGGGCCAGGAGTTACCTCTCAAGTCATTGACAAAAGTGTTTCAAGAACTCCTCGAGACAGCTGTCACAATGGAGCTCTTGATAACAAAGACGACTCCCAGGAGGATCAGAGCCCCTCCAAGTCATCGAACCTATTCACCAGCCTCAAACAGCAGTCCACCCTTAATAGTGAGAGGCCCCGTTCAATGATAGGCATGGGCAACTCATCAACATGGAATGCTCTGTCGTCTTTGAGGAAGATGGGTTCATTCAAAAAGCTGAAATCCTCTGTTCTGCAGGGGATTCAGGCAAAAGAAAATGCTAATAATCTAAGTGACGTGGAAAGTGGTGGTGATATGCAGAAACGCCTGTCTTCTGATGGAGTAACAAGTTGTCAAACTTCCTGTAGGATACCAGTCTCGAGATCCATGCAGGATTATTTTAATGTGACGGATGGCTTGCAGTCTGATGGGTCTGATGTTGAGCAGTCTGATGACACTTTTTTGAGGAGCACCCATCGATCACGTAGTATCAGGCGAGCCTATGGAGCTGGTCGAATCAACTTATTGGATAACGACAACGTCCATGTACCGCACAGTCCACTTCGACTGTCACCTATTGGGCTAGAAGGAAACGTCTGTGAAATTATTGTGAAAAACTCGGACAGCAACAAAGTTATTTACAGAAGGAGTAAAAGTACGGACAACCTCAACTTCCTCAAAAAGAGTTCTTTCAAAAGGAAATCTACCTCTAATCTTACAGATATCAAATCTAGCAGTGAAAAGGACATGATCCAGAAAAGCACGCTAAATACGTCCACAGATGCCAATAATCTCTCCGGAACTCCAGAGAGACGATCCAAGCGGTGGAGAAGTCCAATCAGGGCAAAGGACTTTGACAGAGTGTTAAAAATCATGACCAATGTTACAGAGGGTAATTGGAGAAAAGATGGTAGCAAATGCAGCTCTCCCACCAATGAAGATACTCGCCAAAGTCGGCCAAACAGCCGATTACATGATGATTATTCCAGGAGAGTTTCCAGTAGCACGGACACAGAAAGGAGGAGATGTATATTTGGTCCACATTCCCCCTCATCTGAATCAAATTTGTCTCCAAGTTCCCCTAGGAGTCAAGTGCGCAGCCCATCTTTTGATCTGAATACACTACCGACTGACATCAAATTGTCATCTTCTGAAGGCCTCTCTGTTGAGCCATGTAGCCTCTCTCCTTCCAGTAGTAGCTTGAGCCAGTTGGCCAGTGAAGTCTTCTACTCTGATTCAGAGGAACCTAGACATATCCCGCATTCTGCATCAGACTTTGGAATTCTAGGAACTCCTGTGAGACCCACTGCTCCAAAGCCACAGAGCCCAAGTTCTGAACTCTACAAACCCAATTCAGCTAACCTTTGTACTAATCACCACAGCACTTTATCACTGAGCTCTATGGAAAGTGATGAGAGGGCAGAACCCGGTACCATAAAAGCTGAGAGGAGCCCACATTTGTTTAAGGATACCATTAAACATACTTACTATGATGATGGGAATGAGGATAGTGGAATTAGTAGCCACTCTCAGCTGAGTCTCAACGTGGTTAATGAAGAAAAACAAGAAGAGGTAAGGAACAAAAATGATATAGTTATGATCGCATACATCATTCTCAAATTGGGTCCTCGGTTTAGATGTTCAGGTCTATAAGGTAGTTGATGTAGTAATGCATGTTTTGGTTTTTGTTTTGTTCTGGTGTGCAGACACTCTATGCCAACACATGGTATTGGGTTTGCAAAGGAAGAACTGCTGGGAACACTCAAACCAGTCAGTTGACCTTTCCCTACAAGATCCCTTGGTTTGGTGTATCTACCCACATTTGAAGTTGACAATAATTATGCCAACACATGGTATTGGGTTTGCAAAGGAAGAACTGCTGGGAACACTCCTTTCCCTACAAGATCCCTTGGTTTGGTGTGTCTACCCACATTTGAAGTTGACAATACCCAATGTGATTGGACAATGATCATCCTCTATGGCCTTCTATTTTGTTAATATTTGCTTTTATTTATTTTAGCTAATATTAGTCATACAAGGCTGGATATACTCAAGTGAAGCAGCTGATTCATAGTGTTAACCCTGAGCCATAACAAGTTCTTCTTAAAGGAGAACTATGGGGTTAAGGCTTTTCCCATAGTTAAGACTAGCATCCTCCCGTCACCCTAGGCTCAGTATACCGCTCGCTGTATACTGAGAAGCTGAAGCGGATCCCGACAATTATGTCTGGATCCGCCCAGCTGCGTTACTGACAGCTGGCTCTGCCTATCTAGAGGCAGAGCCAGCTGTGCACGCCCCCTCCCCGTCCGTTCCGCCAGTCAGCGCTGGCGAATCGGAGCGGGGAGGGGGGAATCCAGGATCGAGAGGTGAGCGAACGCCGGTATGTGTTCGCTCACCCCTCGATCTACTAAGCCGACCTGTGACACTCTCATTGTCACAGGTTGGCTAGAACTATGAGGTGAGTGAAAAGCACTCGCCTCATAGTTCTCTAAGTCTTGGCATTGCTTTTAATCTTGCACAGAGATTTACCACCAGCTTTGTCATAATTTAGCCAGTGTTCCCCTTTCAGAGGAGGCTAGACACTAATTCTGCAGCAGACTAAATGTCACAGTCCCTGCAATGCCCAAGGAAATCTTTTACACCTAATTTGTTCTTGGGGAGAAATCTACTAATGTACGGATAGACTAGGCTATTCAGGATAAAGATGAATGGTTAGTTTGTCATTCATGCCATCCTTAATCATCAGTATCTGAGGAGAGCTGTCACTAAGCACCACAAGGGCTATCCAGGGTGGACATAGTGGTAATGGCCTCATGCTATCATAGCCTGACACATGCTGAGCTGAGGAGGGGAACCAAACCTAAAGTATAATAGCCGTTGTCATGTTCACCTTTTATGCTTGTACTGGGCCCCAAGGCCGGGCCTTAGTTGGCCTTGTGGGAAATCCGGCCCTGAGCGCAGCCCTGTGTTTGATATTTTAAATCTAACTCCCAGATGGAGATTAATCATTGGTCAGCACAGCCACCTGGCAGCACTGAAAAAGTCACTTTTAGGCCCTTGGTTGGCCTTGTGGGAGATCCGGCCCTGTCTGTATAGCTGATCCTCATCCTCAGATTGTGGTTTCAGATGTTCAGTTGGGAAATGTCCTATTTAGTTCTTCTTTAGAGTTCCACTACAGAAAGTTTAATGGTAAACATTGTATTTCCGTGAGCAGACATTTTGAGTTTATTGTAACATTTGTGATGCAACTTTGCCATTTTTATATGCTGGCTTATTTATATTTTAAGAGTGATGTTTCATGCACAAATGTATTCCTGTCCTCTACTGGCTTTCTTTGTATCAGAGCGCAGTCATCAGGACTGCTTTGTAATCCGTAAGGCCATACAGATAGACTTGAAGTAAAAGATGGCAATGTCTCTCTAAAGGGAACCTGTGATGATGCCTTTGCTGACTTGGTTGTAAAGGTGCAGGATGGCACCTTCTATATAGAAAGTCTCTGACCCAACACTTGAGACCAGACCTTCAGTCTACGCTGGCTACAGATCTATTACATAGGAAAGCAAGGATCAGCATGGGAGTCTTCACCTTTTAAAAATAACAAAATCGGCAGTGGTAACTCCCTTTTATTATTGCAGGTTCACTTTACTGTTTACCTTGCATTCTTATTTTTAGACTGTTTCCTTTAAATAATTGTAGATCAGTCTTGGTTAATATGTAACATGGCCCACACAGAAAACTCTGCCAGGGTTAGAGAGAGAAGAGAGAAGTGTTATCTAATCCATGCCACCATGAAGTCACATGGTAAAGATGAATTCTGATTGGTTACAGCACTGTGCCCTCATTCCCCTGAGTAACGTTTGTATTTGGAGTGTGATTTCTTTTTTCTTCTTCTAACAATCACTTACTGAAATGCTGAATAATTTTTGTGTAAGTACTCAATATTACTGAGGAGTTAAAGTGTAACTCGCGGCAAAATCATTTTTATTTACATTGATATGCTTATTACCTGTTTTGATTTTATAGTTGTATGGGTTACCATTAGGGACATTTCCCCTCGTTTCCTGATGTTGTTACCACTTTCACTGTATAGGAAGTGAAAAGAAAACACAGGTAGCAATAAAACCGGAAATATGACTTCACTGCCTGTGTCCCCCGAGAGGTTTCTGCTCACTTCCTGTCTTGGGGTCTCTTTACCAGTACACAAAGTGAGCCAAATCCTCCAGCTGTGAGCAAATAAAGCAATAAAACCCTGAGAGGATATTAACCGTCCTGCTGTATCCAACTAATTGTGTGGAGTTCCACTTTAACGCCTACTCAGTCCATTTGTCAGAGTCAGTTTTTGCATTGTTTGCATTGATAATATCTGACTAATGTGTGCCCAGCCTTCGTTCTTCAGTTCCATTAAAAGGAAACTAGGAATGTGTAAGTGGCTGTAACATTATCTGCATAGTATCTGTCTGAGCTGCGTTAAGTACTCTGCAGTCCAGTCAGTGAACCGGCTTATCCAATAGGGTAAAGAGCTATGGGCAGACTGCATGTTGGTATGCTCTTAAAGGGCATAGGTCATAGAAAAAGCTCAGGGAAGTGTGTGTGTGTGTGTGCTATTGCAACCAGTCAGAGAGAAAAAAAAAACACTGCTGACCTTTCCTTATGAAAATGCAAATTGCCTGGCTGATCGAATTCCTTCAATTCTTTGAGTCTGTGATTTGGAACATGCAGATACGCAGTTTTGGCTTTGTTTGCTGTACGTTTCTTCAGATCTGTGGTTCAGAATGTGTTGAAATCAGAGGATGTGCATGGTTGCCAGGCAACTAGCATTTTCAGGAGGTCAGCAAAATGGCAGCCTCCAGTGTTTGATAGTTACTGGTTCCCTTTTAAGGCAGGGCCGGACAAATCGCAGGAGCCAGGTAGCCAAAGCTCCCTAAGAATTACATCTGGCGTTTTAAGTTTTGAGGTTTTCTCTAGTTGGTGTCAATGGAGTTGGCTCCTAAGAAATAACCTGCTGGCTCCTGGATTGGTCAGACTGGCTCCTGAATGCCATATTCACTTGTCTGCCCCTGCTTTAAGGTGCTGCAAAAATGTGATGACAGTCACATGATCCGGTTACTTGAGTATGACCTATGGAGAGGGGTGGGAGAAGCACATGCGCGCGCACAAACAGGTAGTGCTGCATTGTTTGAACTAAAACTGTTGGTCAAGATTTCCTAACATCCCCAATTGCTTGATATGCCAACATGTGTGGTGCTGGCGTCTCCTGATTGGCCAAAAACCGCCGCATCAGGTAGCTGACCATTTTCAATCAATTTCAACCGCTTTCTATCCACCAGGATCCCCAGATACGATCACAAGTATTTGTGTAAAAACAAAGTGATCGATCATCAGAATCGAGTCGCTTGTGAAGTTGAAATGTGGCAACAAATTGACAGCTTCAATTCAGTTTAGTATAGGGCAAAAAAACACAGCAGTTTCTTCTGGAGAAATAAGATTTTTCCACTGGTGTACATTGGGACAATTTTAATCTGATTTCCTTGCTGTCAATCAAAACCACCATTTTAGACCTGCTTTTGCTTTGCAATTTTGGCAAGAATTGGAATTGAAAGTTTGCTCACGGCACCGAGTTGCAGTGTCTATGGCCGGTATTGGGGAACCTTTTTATTTTTAATTGGTTGAGTTCTCTTTGTCCCTGGATAAGGCCAACACCATGGAACCAGCACCATTGTGTATGTTTGTCTAAATCGTCATTCTGCCATTATAAGCAGTGGCAGGTTTATAAAAGGAAAGTTCCAGCTAAATTGGCCAACATTGAAGCTGTGGGGGCCCTATCTGCACTGCCTGGCTTAATGAAAATGAAGTAAATCGGGTGCAGCGGCTGTCTGAATACAGTAGCTGGTAGCACAATCAAATTTATATATTTATTTTTTTCTTGTTTGGCCCTAAAGGTTGACAAGAGAAAATCTATATGTCTAAGGCTTTCTTCACTGCTGCACTACCCAACCAGCATGATGCAGATTGTAAATCGGCAACAAACTAAAGGCAAATGCAGCTTGCAATTACATACAGGTACACTGACTTCCTGCTGAGAGTGGGCTGGATAGGCTTCCTATAGTCTGTACAAAAGTGTGTGCAACCAAGTCAGATCCTTATCTAATCTCTGGTATTAGACTTGTTTCCAAACACATGATTGTGTACTCATCCTGTGATCCCAACTTGCTTCCTGTTGGCTTTGCTTGTTTTACGACTTCATGTCTAAACAGACAATCCTGGAAAGTGACTCCGAATGCATATATTTATATTTTTGTCCATTTTAACTGAGACGCTGCGTAGTTTTGTTTGTATTATGCGTGTTGTTGTTTAGTAGGTTACGTGACTCACAGCTAGCGCATTACAGTGTTTTGAGGTTCTACTTTATTATTATGAATAACAATGGCACCCCCTAGTGGATTAGAGGTGTAATAAAACTGATACTTTTATTGCTAATAAAGGCCATACACTTGTCATTTTTATCTTTCACTCCCTTGGGGCTGTTAGCCATGGATTGGGGAATCTCCCTGCTGGCTAAAGTATTCTGACAG